CCCCACCTGCTCTTCATTGATGCAGGTTAGTTTGCGCGGGCACGACAGAGGGATGCAAGTGGTGGTCATATTGATGATTTTGCTTCTGCTATATGAACTGCTTATTATCGTTTATGCATTTCTGAATTACGTTGAGTATCGGATTATTGATAGGGAGTGTGCTCCCTAGTATTTATGAAATTGAGAAACCCAGTTTGGGAATTGATGTTATTAAAGAACCCGGTTTGGGTGTTGACATGATTAGTGAACCCGTTTGGGTTTTGTATTTATGATATTATTAAAATTTGTTTTGGAAATGAGTAGCGCCTCAAGTGTTTTGAAATAGATTTTGAAAAATTTATTCTGATTTTCGGCAAATAAAAGTGGGGCGTTACAATAAGGTTGGCCAAGATGAGTATTAAACAGACTGGGAGACACATCAAGCACACGATTGCGAAGAAAAAGCTTGTGAAAACGGGGACTATTGGGATCAAACACAGCATGGGTGAGATTAGCATAAAACTCTTTGACAACTTGCCCACAGAAGGGTTGAAGATCAGACACAGTTTTAGACAAACTCACAGACTCGATCAAACGAAGAATGCCAAGATCAGCAAACTTACCATCTTCCACAGCACGTTCGGACCAGAAACCATAGGAACCAAAAGAAACAAAGCGCTCATGAGCTGCCTCAGTATAGAACCGATTAGTGAAGGTGTTCTCAAGATCATAAGCATCGTCCTCAGGTTCTGGCGGAACAGACGGTGCATCAATGGATTCTTTGCCACGGCGGCGAGTTGAGCGACGAACAGGCACCTTTGATGGTGGCGTAGGCTGATCAGAATGAACATCAACGAGAGTTGCAGCTGTGTCTTCCTTGTCTTCTTCGCCTACTTTGGTTGTGGTCTTTGACGTCGTCTTGGTAGCAGATTTGCTCGCAGATGTTGGAACAACAGACGACTCCCCCTGAGTTGGAGCTGCTGGAGCCTCAACAAACCCTGACAGACCAGGTACGCCGGTGGCGAGAGGAGAGATCTCAAGATTTTTTTCGGCATTGTCGGAGTTGGACGGAGAACCAGACGAGGTTGCAGAGATGGAACCCGACTTCTCATGTGGTGGCGACTCAGGAGATGGGGATTTAGCCGGCGGAGGAGATGGTTCACGAGCAGAACTTGTAGAGAGGGATAGACGACGGCGCTTCAGCCGCTTCTCCTTGTGTTTCTTAAGGCACTTCTTCGACTTGTCCTTGCTACCAGCCATGGGAGAAGGAACGGCGATTGAGTTTGGGAAAAGTAGGGTTTCAGAGGGTTTGAAAAGAAGAATAAGAGAAGAAGATAATATCAGATGAAAAAGGGATGATTGAGATTTGGAGAATCGTGAGAGACATAAAGAGTTCTGACAAAGATAACTGCAAAAGGTGGTTTCCGAGATTCAAGGTGAGGAGAGAGAAAGAGACGTTGCAACTTAGGGCGGTTTATGGCAAGAAACTGATCCCTCCAAATCCGAAATTCAAACACAATACAACCTCTCACACAAATAACTTCTCACATTATTTCGATTTTTAGGAAAGAAATCAGATTTCATACTTGAGCACATATTCTTCACAAAATTTTAGACTCAAATAGATCATGTTCAAAAAGGAAACCATATGCAAGTATGCCTAAATTATGAGAAATAAAAATAAGGTAATAAAATCGCACACAAAATACACCAAATTCAAAAAATCTTTTCCTTCTCAACTTAGACAAAATCGATGAAAATAGCCCAAGATCAACTTTGATATTCAGATTTCCCAAGGAACACACGATAAGCGGATATATGTATATACACAAGGTAGTGCGAACCACAACAAGAACACATGCCTTATTATTCATAGTGCGTTTCACTTAGTAACAATCACTGCAATAGTGAATGTCAACCCCACTACTTTGCACCACGATTTTAAGCAAGGATCCTCCATATATTATTTATTATTATTATTATTATTATTATTATTATTATTATTATTTTTTATATCAGCACTACGTGTTTTATGAGGATGGCCACCTTATTGCTCCAAGTAAGAACATCACATAGTAATATGCAATGCGTGTCACTAGCTTACGCCCTTTCTCAACATTTTCTGTCCCAGACGCTCTTTTCACAGTCGATCCCACATTGGGGAAAAGAACCATGTGCTAGCTATCGCTCTAGATCATTTATGAGAAGGCAGCTCTTTGTGACAAAAAAAAAATACAGAAAATAAGTATGTTCCTCGGTACCATAAGAACACGCAGTCAGTCTTAAACCATCAACACTTCTCAAGTTTTCAGAAGAGTTAGAACTTCAATCAAGAATCCAGTGGTGAAGAGAATGCAAAATGCACGATATGCCTAATGCAACATACCCTATATGCTTACACGCAATGCAATAGATATTTACTAGTAATTACAATACAATATAATATAATGCAAAGTCACACAAGCATTCAGAATGAACAGATCCCTAAGGATTTCCTTAGAGAAATGAACCTTTGAGAATCCAGAGCCTTAGTGAAGATGTCAGCTAACTGGTTTTGTGTAGAAATATGCTCAAGCACAATCACATCATTCTCAACTAAGTCTCTAATAAAGTGATAGCATATATCTATGTGTTTAGTCCTAGAGTGCTGAACCGGATTCTTAGAGATATTAATAGCACTTGTATTGTCACAAAAAAGGTTCACGGTTCTTACCTCTAGTCCAAACTCAATCATCATCTGCTTCATCCACATGAGTTGAGAACAACAACTGCCAGCAGATATGTATTCAGCTTCAGCTGTCGAGAGTGCTACGCAATTTTGCTTCTTACTAAGCCAGGAGATGAGATTATTCCCAATGTAGAAGCAACCACCAGAGGTACTGCGTCGATCATCGACGTTCCCAGCCCAATCTGCATCACTATAACCTGCAAGACTAGAAGACGTGTCTCGTGAGTACCAAATACCTAAGTCTGAT